ATGGTAATGGAGAACCGTTCCTTCGACCACATGCTCGGCTGGATGAAGCGCCTCAACCCCGCCATCAACGGCGTCACCGGCTCCGAGTCCAATCCGCTCTCCGTCACCGACCCCAACTCCAAACGCTTTTTCTTCAAAGACCAGGCTCACTACGTCGACCCGGACCCGGGCCACTCCTTCCAGGCCATCCGCGAACAGATTTTCGGCTCCAACGACACCTCCGCCAACCCTCCGCCCATGAACGGCTTCGCGCAGCAGGCCTTCTCCATGGACAACACCTCGCATATGTCCGAGAACGTCATGAACGGATTCCTCCCCGACCTCCTTCCGGTCTACAAAACGCTCGTTTCGGAGTTCGCTGTTTTTGATAGGTTTCTCTCTTTTGTCCTCTTCCTAACCCCTTCTAATGCATGTGAACATCTTTGGATTTTCTATTCTTGTTTGGTGAGGTACCTTCATTAATGTGGATTTACTTTAAGAAACTCCTTTTTCTCTTTCAATTTCACATTTCACCTTTTTCTTAATTGAAATTATTTGGGACCGGTGTATTAATGTAGCATTATTATTATTATTATATTTATTATTATATTATTATTATTAATGAATTTAACTAAAAAAAATAGACAGAAATTGGTTCTTCCTTTGCACTAAAAGAGAAATAAATATCTAGAGACAGCTATTTCACGTGTCGTATTCACGCGTATATCATCACCGTGTTTTATTGTTTTAATTTTAAACCATGATTTCCATTTTCATGTTGATAGGTGGTTCGCCTCCGTGCCGGCCTCCACCCAGCCGAACCGTCTCTTCGTGCACTCGGCAACATCAGGCGGCGCCACCAGCAATGTGGCGGCCAAGCTGGCGGCTGGGTACCCGCAGCAAACGATCTTCGACAGCGTGTACGATGCAGGATTAGACTTCGGGATATACTACCAGAACATCCCCGCCACACTTTTCTACCGGAACCTTCGGAAGCTGAAGTACGTGCTGAAGTTCCACTCTTACGACTTGTCGTTCAAGCTGCACGCCAAAGAGGGGAAGTTGCCGAGCTACACTGTGGTGGAGCAGCGGTACATGGACACGAAGTTGTTACCCGCCAATGATGATCACCCATCGCACGATGTGTACCAGGGGCAGATGTTTGTGAAGGAGGTGTACGAGACACTGAGGGCCAGCCCGCAGTGGAACCAGACCCTCTTTCTTATCACGTACGATGAACATGGAGGGTTTTACGACCACGTGCCTACCCCCGCGCGTGGGGTGCCCAGTCCTGATGGAATTGTGGGTCCTGAACCGTTTAACTTCACCTTTAATAGGTTGGGAGTGAGGGTCCCTACCATTGCTATCTCGCCTTGGATTCAGAAGGGTACAGGTATGTCATGCCCTAAACTAGAGTAAAATATCCATTTCTTCATCACTATAATTCATTTGCATTGCACTTCATATAATTCATACTTATGTTAAATATTACAATAGTTTAGATTTACAACAACAGTATTCAATTATTACGTAAGGTTATTTTTAACCGTGAAAATTAATTATAAGCTAATTTAAAAATAGAGTTAATAAAAAAGATATCAAAGGAAACAGACAACTAAAAGAAAAATATAGACATAAAGGAAGATAGCTTGAGATTATTGAGATAATCTTTTAATGAGAATAGTATCTAATGGAAGTGCTATTTCTTAATTGGTTAAAGATTATTAAACGATATAAAAATATACGGGTTTCCCGTTTTATTTAGGAATTTATTTTTATCATCATTTAGTATATTTTATTAAATTCTGTCCGATAAAGATAAATATTTATCTATTTTTAATTATGATATTGATACAAATTATTAATCTGGTTATTTTCTCATATTTCCATTCGTTTATTTTTTTTCTATTTTATTTTTTCATCATTATTAAAGTGGTTTTAAAAATACGTAAAGAAATAAATATTGAAGATGTTTGTGTCAGATAATGGAAGTTAAAAGCAGATGACTTTTATTTTCCCTCTAATTTGTGTGTCACTAATTACTACAACAAAAAAGAGGTTATTTGATCTGATAATTTCCCCCTTTTTTTACTATTATTTAAATATTTTTGGTTGTTTTCTTGATTTTAGAACTGTTAAAGAAATGATGATAGAATGATTTTTGTTATGTTTTAATAATTGATGACAAATATGATTCTATTATATAAATATACGTGTCTATATACAAAAGTAATATTTTATTCTAATATATAAATATTTTAATTGTAATTTTATTTTTAGATTTGCACATAATTTTATTTTTTTTTGGTTTTTTCCTTTTTGATAAATTAATGATATATGTAGTACTTTTCAAAGTCACATCTTTTTTATTATTGAGTTATTTTGACATGTATATATAGATTCTACTTTATATCTGTCTATTCTTTTCTGTGCACAATTGATGCAGTCATTATATCTAAAATACAATCTTGCATTCCAGTATGAACAGTTTATGGGCTTTTCTCTATGATACACCTAAATCCTTATCATCTTGGGTGCATAAATGTTTTCAGTTAGACAGCACTATTGATATGAGAATTTATTGCTCAACAAACATGTAAGAGAAGAATACTAATATTTTCAGATTCTCTCATCACATTTTCCATGCACCATACGACTTCACATATGGTGCCTTCATGATCTTAATAAAATGACTTACTTAAGTTAGGCACGACTCATCCATCACATGCTCACACTTAAGAAATTGATTCTCACACTAACTTTGAAAACAGACAATACACATAAAGTGTGATGTGGTGTGCTGAGTGGGACCTTTTACTTTTTTTGTGTCTATCTTCAGTGTCAAAGAGTACAGCGTGAAACCTCATTATTATGGATATTTCCTAACGATGATAAATCACACACCCCCACAAGCAAGAATCTGACTTTTGATTTAGTTCATTGTGTGTAAGCAATGTAGTTGCCAATGTCTTAAAGCAAAACCAAGGAGCAATAATGCTGGGATATTATTATGGATTGATTGACTTATCTGAGGTGTTTTTGGTGGATTGATTTATCACTTTTGAAATGTAAGTTGATAGCTTAGTATGTGTTGTAGGCGAAGATTAAAGAAACAAAAAACAAAATAAAGGCTTCAAGTGGGTTGAAATATGTGATATAGTATTGTTGAAAAGATAGAAAAAGGGCCGTGCAGGCTCAAACAACTATTTTTTTTCAAGTACAAAGATTTATGCTTAAGCTGAAAGCCAAAATGGAAAGAAATTGATTTTTGGTGCCTTACAGCAAATAAATTATTCTTTAGTTGGTTGGTGACATGTTGCCAGGGAGGAAACTTCAAGGCTCTATCAAGAATTCAGGACAATTTAAGATGGGTTAATAAATTTGATCATAATAATTGCTCAAATTATCTTAGGTACATTATATATATATATATATATATATATACATATATATATACTTGAAAAAATTATTCATATTGTTTATAATATATTATATATTATTATATAAGAGGGTTTTCTCCTTTGGTAAACATAATTTTTATAATTTTATTTTTTAAGTTATCGTTTTTAAATTAAAATAATTATCTTATTATTTTTATCTTTTAAAGTAACTGATAATTTAAATTTAATCGGTTTTATATTTTAAATTTATCTTTTAAAGTAACTGTTAATTTTAAATTAACCGTTTTTATTTTTAAATTTTACTCTTTAGTGATTATCATTTTAAATTAAAATAATTATTTTATTAATTTTATTTTTTAAATGATCATAAATTTAAATTTAACTGTTTTTTAAATTAAAATTATTATTTTATTTTTAAAATGATTATTTATTTACATTTATTATTTTTAAAATTAAATTAGTTATTTACACTAAAAAACAGGGACATATGAACATAAGTGGATTGTCTTTCCACTAGGAGAGTCCTGACGTAACGGAAAAGTTGTCTCAATGACGGTTGATCTTGGGTTGAATATAGAAACAACCTCTTTGTATTTGTAGGACGAGAGTCCATAGAATGACGCTCTCTTGTATTTCTGTTTATAAATTTTAAAAATTATAATTAATGAAAAAAATGAAACATGTGAGTAAACAGCTAACCGTGTATGAAGAATTTTTTTCTCAAATTAACGTTATATTGGACAATTATTGTCCACTTGAATGGAACCAATGAATCTCATGTGTAACATGTATGAGATAGTGAATTATTGAAAACTGTTCAAGCTTTTCTGATTTTTACGGTGATACAGTTGTTCATGGGCCAAATGGGTCACCAACTCCTACATCCGAATATGAGCACTCATCCATTTCAGCAACAGTGAAAAAGCTCTTCAATTTGCCTTCATTTTTGACCAACAGAGATGCTTGGGCTGGAACCTTTGAGGGCATTGTTCAGACAAGAACAGAGCCAAGGACAAATTGCCCAGGTTAGTATCCTTCATCAACTAATTAGACTATAATCGCATTTATGTATCAATAAGCAACAAAATCCCCTTTGTTTAGAATATTGAACAAATACTAATCACATATCATTCATATGTATTCATAAAATTATATACGTACATGAGAAAAATGTAATTTAAATAGGAATATAAATTTGCAGTAGCTTTAAAACCGAATCTAATAGCTTTGACATGTACCTTGTTTTTCAATTTCTCTATACATGCATGCATACATACATATATATATATATATATATATACATATATATACATACATACATATATATGTATATGTATGTATATATATATATGTATGTACATACATATATATATATACATATATATATATACATACATACATATATATATACATACATACATATATATATAGATACATACATACATATATAGATACATACATACATATATACATACATACATATATATATACATACATATATATATACATACATACATATATATATATATACATACATACATATATATATATACATACATATATATATATATATATGTATACATATATATATATATATAACACCTAGAAACGATTTAGGCATGAAATAAATAATAAATAATAATAAATGTGAATAATAAAATTCACGTAAATAATTTACATAACATAATATTTGTTGTACATTTAGGTTCTCAAATCAACCATACAAAACAAACTAAAAACTAATCCATATTTACACGAGTTTACAAAACGTAAAACAATACAAAGATCTTCTTAAAAGGATAACTATTGACTAGAGATAAGGCCAAATTATAATATATAAGTGGGGTGAAAACCTCACCATACAAACCGGTTTTTGGGAATTGAGTTAGACTTAAACAATTACTGGGGAGAAGCTGTGTTAACTGCCACATATCTCATCAACAAGTTACCCACTCATATCTTAAATGACATTAGTCCTATAGAGTATCTATTGTCTTTTATTCCTTCTTCCCTACTAACGAGTCAACCTAGTTGAGTCTTTGGATGTGTTGGTTTTGTTCACTCTCATCATCTTAACCGTGGTAAATTAGATCCCAGAGCTCTTAAATGTGTCTTTATTGGGTATCCTTCTAATAAAAAAGGGTACAAATGTTATCATCCTCAGAGTCATCGCGTCTTTATCACCATGGATGTCACCTTTCATGAAACACAATCCTTTTATGTCAGTCCACCACTTCAGGGTGAGAAAGCCTTTGAAGTGGATGAACTCTCCTTCTTGTCATTACCATGTTTGTCTTTGCAGGATGCCCAATACCTGAGCAATGAAGCTACAATAGTCCACAGTGAGGAAGAAGACAAATTTTTTGGAAAAAAATATGAAAGAAGAAAACAACCCACTTCGACTCTTGAGCAAGAAGAATTGTCTAATCCGGAGGTGAGGATCCGTGAAGATATCAATGAGGAGGAGGTATTTATACCCCCTTGGGGGATTCAAACCTAGGAGGCTCTCATATCCTCAAATAGAGTTATTCAAAGACGGAGATCTAAATGCCCTGAGTGATATGTTTTCTACAAACATACTTTACAATTTCTTATCTAAACTACTTATATAATATGGACTATACTTTAAAACTTTATCACTCTAAGAACCATGTTTTAAATTCAAGGTAGAGATAACTTTCAACAATTGTCATAAAGCATTTCATAAGATGTAATACTATTATCAAATATCTCTATCTGTAAGAACTATGGTGTTTATAGAAATATCTCAAAAAAAGGTTCATAAGATAAGATATCTCTCTAGATAATGATTCCAAGGGTTAGGGTTTCATAATCCATAAACCTATATTTCTTCAATGCACATCTCATACTATAAAAGGAGGAAAATGATGGAAATACGAGAACCACCTTAAGGAGAAAATTGATTGCTAGAACTTGAAGAGAATGAGAAGCAAGGAAAGAGGGAAGAGAGAAGAATCTCTTGATTCCTTGTGTCTTAGGTGGTAAGAGAACCTTTTATCTCTCTGATCTAAGCTTTGTTCTGTCTCAAAATACCAAAAGAAGACAACTTCGGGCTAGTTATACTCAATTGGCACTAGCCAATCTGCAAAACAAATCACAAACGGCTGAGTGGATTGTTAAAAATTGCATTGCAGCCGCCTTAAATCCATTAAGTGTAGCCCCTGTGCACTCAATGGATTCACTAGTAAGGATGGAAAATAGACATTCAAAAGGAAAAATTTGCTTACTGCAGGCTGCAGCTCCTGTACGCTGAGCGGATAAGCTGCAAAGAGAATTTTGGTGCAGGGTGAAAATGAATGAGCCAAGCTGAATATGGCTGAACCAATCTGATCTGCACTGAGGAGATTGAAAAATGGCTCAGCAAACTTCAAAATGGCTAAGTAAAAAAATTATGCATTAAAACTTCCAAAATTCTCTAATGCATAATTTCGCGGAGGGAACCAAACTCGGTAAGAGGATTTTTTGCAGTGAAGATACTCTGAAACTAAGCTTAAAAACGCTAAGTTAGTGTCTTATCTAATATCCTAAATAAAGATTGTTAGTCGTTACATATGTGTGTATGTATCCATGTATGACCATAGTGACGATTGCTTGACAAATGTACTAATTATACAAATGATTGCTATATAACTATTCAATTAGTATAAAATTAATTAAAGACCTCGCCTCTCTCTTTCCGACGTTAACAAGTTCAATTACCTGGTTTATTTAACAATGTAAGAAAAAAAACTATAAATGTCCAAATACAAGTAAAAGATAGGATAAAAAATATATCAATATTTGACAACTATCACATATGAAATAAAACAGAAGTTTTCAAATATAATTTTTTATACCTTTTAATCCAAAAATGCAAGTAGAGAAAAAGTAATAGACTTGGTTGATTACATGTATTTCACTTTCCTGTTGCACTTGGTTCTTACATTCTAACCTTTGAATGCTCACACGAAACAATGAGTAGAGGCAAATGACATTCACCACTGCATATTTTACAATTTGTTGATTCCTGCTGGTGTTATTTTGGTGCAGAGAAACTTCCAACCCCTGTAAAGATCAGGGAGGGAGGGCCTAATGAAGATGCCCAGATGAGTGAATTTCAGCAGGAACTGATCCAACTTGCAGCAGTGCTTAAAGGAGATAATATCCTCACTAGTTTTCCAGGTAAAATAGGGAAAGACATGACTGTTAAACAAGGGAAAGATTACATGGATGACGCAGTTAGGAGGTTCTTTGAAGCAGGCCGATATGCAAAGAAAATGGGAGTGAATGAAGAACATATAGTCCAGATGAAGCCTTCTTTGACTACGAGATCATCCAAATCTTCAAACAGAAACCCTTAGAAATACAATAAAGCATGTAGCATGAAATAGATAGAGAAATGAAAGCAATCATTTTAATGCATATAAAAACATCTATACATAATTGAAAAGGAGGCGTGTGTTTTATATATAAAATATTGACAACTTTTATGGTATCCCTTTATTGCTCAGATTCTCTCTTATTTTCTGAGGCCTTACAGAGGTCTCCACTGACCAATATCTAAATGATATGAAGTTGGAGTACGTAAGTTGAAGAAAGTTTATAACTTTATAATAGAGTCCATGCATGATGGTCAAGTGACCTGTACTTTTATCGCAGAATTTGGAGTCTCTTTTTTTGTCTTCTATAAAACTGATTTATTGATTTTTCTTAAACATGCTCATTGGAAACCACTACCACTTTAAACTGAGATGTATAATGCACAGATATACTATCACTCAATTCAAAACTCTGGGTGGTTGCTTCCGTTGTCATTTTTCACTGCATATTTGATACATTGAACTGTAGATATAATATTTTGATAATAAGTTGTTTCCATTGATTTTCCTCTGAAAAAGCCTACTGAAAAAAGGTTAACTGACAAACTATAAATGCTCTATACTCCAATACCCATACTTGACTTGCTACAGAAAAAAAACATCTATTTTTTAGATCTAGCACAAAAACATCTTTTTTGTATTAATCAGAGATCTTGGGGTGAAACAGGTCTATTTTTATGTAATCCAAATTGTTGGTTGCAATCTAGTAGCCATAGCATGAGAAGCCTAAGGATTTGTGGTTTATTTTCTTTTCCTCAGCTTCTATTTAATGAATCCCATTTAGGTAAGTTAGCAGTAGCTTCATTGATCATCTTTACAAGCTGCACCTGCAAATGATCACAGTATCTATTAGCTGCCGAAACAAGCAACCGCAAAATGACCATAGTATAAATCAAGCTTCAAATAAAAACAACTGTTAGTTTAGAGTTTATTGAAAAATATTACAGTCTCTGCTTAAAACTCTAGCAAACACTTTCAAAGTTTGGAACACAGCCAGATTTTTGCATTCAAATTGATTTTCCAAAACCATTGGAGTCTACTACATGTTGCATCCATGTCACAGAAGAAAAATTAAATAAAAGGAAATATAATTTCATTTATAAAAGCTAGCCATGCCGCTAAAATATCTTTAACACACCAAAACAAAAGTTAAATGCAATTTCAAATTGCCAAGATTCACATTCAACTGAAACTTCGTTTCCTTTTGCAGAAAAATTGTAGACTAAGACATACCACAGTTTCAGGAACTCCAGGAGGGGGTAAGGAAAGGTTTTTGGGTGGAGGACCTGAGAGATAAGCTCTCTTGTTAAAACGCCATTCTCCAATCTTCCCATATGTCAATTCCCCCTGAATGGATAAGTAATAGGAGTAAGTAACTTGTGCTACAAACAAAGTTCAACTTTTAATATTAGTCACCAAAGCAAAGGGAATATTAGTCAAGGACAGCATAATATTAATATAAAATAAAAAGAAGAAATCCCCTCACCTTTAAATTGTAGTCACATGCATAAGTATAATGGATTATAAACTTGTTCCCAACATCTAAGTCCCATGGTGGCTGTAACATTTCATGATGCATGCCATTAACTTCAATGCTACTTCCTTAGGTAAAGATGCAATTCCTCATTCACAAATAAACAAACCTGGAGCATGAAGTTATCATGAAGAACATGCCGTACACCGTGCAATGCCGATGCCACAGCGTATGCATACCTGAATTCAACAGAAGAATTAAAGCAGAAATGAATAGTGACAAGTGCCAGGACAAAAACTGATAACTGAGTTTAGGTTCTAGAAAGTTTATGCAGTACTACTCACATTTCAAGTACCCATCCAAAAGTTTCATCAGCTTTTTGATCATCTTTCATTTGCAGGGAAACATTCACCCATGTGGGAGCTATTTCCTCCAGCAAGGACTGATGTTAAAAAAAATCAGTTCCTCTATAGAAGCTATCATGCTTTGTAATAACTGTAACTGTTAACTATATTGGTTGAGAATTCACCTTCTGAATGATTACAGGAGAATTTCCAATGGGGTCAATATCTGTAATAGGACCATTCGCCTTAGGGTAGAATTTTCTAATTATTTTTTCATGTTTATCTGGTTTTATGTAGAAAAATGGATACCCTGCTGGTTGATTTCCATTAGCCAAATTAGGCAAAGGTTTTACAAATATGTGGTCGGGTTCTGCCATCAAAATATATCTGCACCAATCATGAAATTCCTTGTTGTTAGGTTTTGCTACTGAAGAGCATAACATCCTAGAAAACCAGAATAAAGAAACTTACTCTTCCTCAACATTTGCTTTATCCAGCCACTGAAGAAAAGCCCATGGCCTATTCATCACAACATAACCCTGACAAAAAATAAATAGACAAGTGTTTTTGGGGCATCAAATCAATAGTAAGGAATACTAAAAAAATATCACAAATAACGAAACTGGGGATAAACTTTCCAGTGGAGTTAATTGTTTCACGTATCTCACCACTTTGTTGTTATTATATTCTGCAAAAGGATTTGAAATGTACAATAGCATTTAAATGCACAGAAACATGAGTCAAGCTACTAGTGAGTAATTCAGCTAAATAAAGTTCTTTTTAGTTCAGCTGAAAAACTTCAATATCTGCTTACAGATTGAAACTTTCTGAAAAAAACTAGTTAAAATGAAAAGGATGGGAAGATAATCTTTTAGTATGACTTTACCTAAAAGTATATCAGCAACCAGGTAAGAGAAAAAGAGATTAAAGTTACAAACTTTCTTATGAAGAATAGAAATAACAAAATGTAAGTGGGGGCACATGTCTTCAGACATGAATGTGTAGAGACCAAAACTTACACTTATTTCATACAGGAACTAAAACATAAAATAAGAACAACTATAGGGATGAAGTGAAAAATTTAACTTTAAAGTTACATAGGTTAAAAGGATATGAATTCTGACAGAAGAAGCTGAAAATATTAATGTACCCTATCCAAGCCTGCAGGAAGTGGATCAACCACAAAACTAGGAATCTCATCCATCAACTGGTCTGGTTTACCTGAATGGACAATTCTGGTGAACTCTCCCATATCTGATCCAGGTATTTCCTTTACCTTCTTATACCAGTAGTACATAATTCGGCATTGCCATTGAGAATAAGCTGCATCAGTAGCAGTGACCACAACATGGAATTTTGAATGGGAATTTTCTGATATCCAGCTTCCACCCTTATGGTGTTTGATCATAAATACCAAATTGTAAATGACAAAGAAAAAGGCAAGAACCATAAAAAGGAGCACAAGTAGTGACTTTGTCTTGGTTTTTCTCACAATCATCTTTAAATTCTTACTCTCTTATTCAAATACCACTCCCTAAAGCTCCAAAACTAAATCCAATTCAATTCAGCTGTTAATTAAACCCATTAACAGCTACTAAAGCTAACCAAAATATAAGTTATATTCATAGAAATGTACACAATTGAAATAACTTCTTGCCTCAAGTGTTGTCACTGGTGATTTGTGCAGAATAAAAAGTCCTAGAAACTGAAAACCATGTATATATAAGAACATTAGCCCATACTTGAACTAGAATAAACTTTCACATGAAAAGCCTGATGTTCTACTAAACTCGTTTGAATCAGAAAAAAGAGACAGAAGGAAACTTTGGAAAAAAGAAATAAGAAAAGTAGCTTGAAGGAAAAACATATGCAGGAAAAATGAAATAGCAACAAACAGAAAAAAGACTGGTACTTTGAACAGTGCCAACATGTGCAAACCTAATACAAGAAAAGGAAAATTTTGAACTTTGAAGAGATTGCTATAACTAGCTTTGTGGAATCCAAAGCTGAATACTCTACACTACATGCATGCACTGAGACAAAGTGGAGTTGACAGTGAATGAAGAAGACGGCAGAATAAGTGGGATGTGGAAGCAATGTGGTCACTGTTCATTATTGAGTATGAATGAAAGTGACAGCCCCAAAAGATGAAAAGATCAAGGATTGCTGATTAGGACTGTCTGCACTCAAATCTTGGTCAGAAACATTCCATTTTGTCTGCATTAAAATCAAAGCAAATTATTGTGAATATTCAAAAAGAACTCTCCACTTGAGGTGCAAGTTGATGCCATTGTCATTCATGGTGTAACTGTTTGCCAACTCCAAACCCTTTAGTTGCTTTTGTTTTGTCTTTTGCCTCAACTTGCACCTTTTGGCCAGGTTGTTCCTTATTAATCATGAAGTTTAATATAATCTTCTTTACTTTCTATATTTGAAAAGTATTAGTAATGCTTTTGACAATAAATAAATAAGAACCATACCCATAAAAGCATTATACTAATACTTTTAAGAATAAATAATATTAGTTGGGGTTATAATGTTTGTCCTAAAATAATATCTGTGAAAACATTAATTATTAGTTGTGTGTTGTGAATTATCTACATAAAGAAATTCATCTATTTAAACAACTCTTGTGTTATTATTCAGTTATAAGATAATTTTTTTAATTTATAACAATTATTTTATAAATTATATTAATAATCAGTTCTGATTGGTTGATTGTAACTAATCTTTTGCTTGAATACATATTTAATGACTTTTTCTAACATATTTATTTTAATCTCATTATTCAAAAACTTATAAATGATGTTTAAACTTTTCTTCGAGTGGACCTCAAAATCCACTTTTTTCAGTCTAT